TCTGTTCTGAAATTTGATTTGTCCTTTTCATATATGTTCATTTTTTTAATTGTATCCTTTGGTATATATGATTGAGACAATTTTCTTCCACTATTTGATCTGAGGAAGTGGGTCTGGCCCAGGAAAGCTCATCACCTAATAAACCATCTTGTTAGTCTTTAAAGTGCTACATAGTCCTGTTTTTTGTTTCACAGTGAGGTCTGGCTGTCATTCACGGTGACATCATTAGTCCCGCCCTCTCTGTTTAACACAGGGGTGTCCACCACCAGGTTTACTCTGCCTGGGTTTTAGCCACCCCACAGCCTGTCCCTAAAGGCCTCGTTTTCCTCTTTTATTTGCCGTGAGCAAACAAAGCAGAGCCATTGGTGGGGTGGAACAGGGGGAGGAATGTCTCCGGGTGTGGGAGGCTGCTGGATGGGCCACTGCAGGCATACTGACCCGACCCGACCCAGCCTCACGGGCCCTCTGAGGACAGAGTACACAAGGGGCTGAGTATTGCACAGAGCCTGTTGTTTGTGAGCAAGACCAGACCAAAGTAGCAGGTCTGGCCCCTTTGCCTGTGTTCCCTGGGGCTCAGAGGAACCCCCTGCTGTCTCACTAGGCAGGTGTGTATAATGCAGGCGGAACACGTTGTCCGCAGGAACGCCCCCTCGAGCCAGGATTTCCCAAGTCCCTGCTTGCCACCCTGAACTGAGAGCCCTGACCTATGGAAATACCAGTCCCAGCATGCCTTGCTCCACTGTTGACCAAGCACTGTGGCCTAGACAGGCGCCACTCCCAGCATGCTTTGTTCCGTTGTATAGAACGAAATATACCCTGTTGAGGTTCCAGTCCCAGAATGCCTTGCAGCATGGTATGACGTGAGCCGTGGCTGGGCAGGTAATCCCAGCATGCCTTGCTCCATGGAGTGACCTGTGCCGTGGCTGGGGGGGCAATCCCAGCATGCCTTGCTCCATGGAGTGACCTGTGCCGTGGCTGGGGGGGCAATCCCAGCATGCCTTGCTCCATGGAGTGACCTGTGCCGTGGCTGGGGGGGCAATCCCAGCATGCCTTGCTCCATGGAGTGACCTGTGCCGTGGCTGGGGGGGCAATCCCAGCATGCCTTGCTCCATGGAGTGACCTGTGCCGTGGCTGGGGGGGCAATCCCAGCATGCCTTGCTCCATGGAGTGACCTGTGCCGTGGCTGGGGGGGCAATCCCAGCATGCCTTGCTCCATGGAGTGACCTGTGCCGTGGCTGGGGGGGCAATCCCAGCATGCCTTGCTCCATGGAGTGACCTGTGCCGTGGCTGGGGGGGCAATCCCAGCATGCCTTGCTCCATGGAGTGACCTGTGCCGTGGCTGGGGGGGCAATCCCAGCATGCCTTGCTCCATGGAGTGACCTGTGCCGTGGCTGGGGGGGCAATCCCAGCATGCCTTGCTCCATGGAGTGACCTGTGCCGTGGCTGGGGGGGCAATCCCAGCATGCCTTGCTCCATGGAGTGACCTGTGCCGTGGCTGGGGGGGCAATCCCAGCATGCCTTGCTCCATGGAGTGACCTGTGCCGTGGCTGGGGGGGCAATCCCAGCATGCCTTGCTCCATGGAGTGACCTGTGCCGTGGCTGGGGGGGCAATCCCAGCATGCCTTGCTCCATGGAGTGACCTGTGCCGTGGCTGGGGGGGCAATCCCAGCATGCCTTGCTCCATGGAGTGACCTGTGCCGTGGCTGGGGGGGCAATCCCAGCATGCCTTGCTCCATGGAGTGACCTGTGCCGTGGCTGGGGGGGCAATCCCAGCATGCCTTGCTCCATGGAGTGACCTGTGCCGTGGCTGGGGGGGCAATCCCAGCATGCCTTGCTCCATGGAGTGACCTGTGCCGTGGCTGGGGGGGCAATCCCAGCATGCCTTGCTCCATGGAGTGACCTGTGCCGTGGCTGGGGGGGCAATCCCAGCATGCCTTGCTCCATGGAGTGACCTGTGCCGTGGCTGGGGGGGCAATCCCAGCATGCCTTGCTCCATGGAGTGACCTGTGCCGTGGCTGGGGGGGCAATCCCAGCATGCCTTGCTCCATGGAGTGACCTGTGCCGTGGCTGGGGGGGCAATCCCAGCATGCCTTGCTCCATGGAGTGACCTGTGCCGTGGCTGGGGGGGCAATCCCAGCATGCCTTGCTCCATGGAGTGACCTGTGCCGTGGCTGGGGGGGCAATCCCAGCATGCCTTGCTCCATGGAGTGACCTGTGCCGTGGCTGGGGGGGCAATCCCAGCATGCCTTGCTCCATGGAGTGCATGGGGAAAGGGCGGGGTTGGAGGAGAGGTGGTGGGGGGGGGAGTTCCATTGCCCCCACTCACTTGCTGTCTCTCCTTCCCACAGCCTCCAAGCGCCGGCTGCCAGCCCCCTCCTCCAGCATGGCCGATCCTCATCAGCTCTTCCATGGCACCAGCTCCAGCAGCACCCCGGCGGGCAGGGGCTGCAGTGCCCAGCAGCCCCCCACTGTCGGCTACCCCACACAGGGCTCTTTCCTGGCCGAGCCCATGTCCAACTTCGCCATGGCCTACGGCAGCACCCTGGCCAGCCAGGGCAAGGAGATTGTGGACAAGAATGTGAGTATAGCGCCGGGGGTGAGGAGCTGGGGGGAGAAACCCCCCCCCCACAGTGGCTGCTTTTCTCCGACCCTGTCCTGCCCTCTGCACTGCTGCTGTAACCCAGGCCTGAGTGCGTGTCCTGAGCTGCTTTCTCCTTCTTGCAGATTGACCGCTTCATCCCGGTGACCAAGCTGAAATATTACTTTGCTGTGGACACTGTCTACGTGGGCAAAAAGTTGGGGCTGCTTCTCTTCCCCTTCATGCACCAGGTGAGCCCTAAAAGGCTGCACCTGGCCTTGCTCAGTAACTGGTGCCAGGCCCTTGTTTCGGATCAGGTTGGGGAATGGGTTTTGCAAACGGCTCTTTGGTCTGAAACCCCTAAATGGAGGGTTAGCGTTTCCCCCTCCAAAGTGCCACTGCTCACACGTGAGTGCAGGCAGCTCCTCAGTCTGACTGGGGCCCCAAAGCTCTGCCTGGGGGCTCCCTGCAGTCATATCCCCTGCATGCACAGGGTGCTGCCTGTTATCCCAGCGAGGGTCTGGGTTCTCTCCACTCCATGGAGGAGCTGGGGGCGGGGTGGGGTCTGCCTCCGCAGGGCTCGTGCGGCAGCCTCTTACAGCCTCTCTGCTGTAGGGGGATGCTAGTGGCAGGGCTCAGGGCAGAGCAGCGCCCCCAGACCTGCTCACCTCAGAAGGGACTCTCCAGTGCAGGGTGCCAGCTTAGTGCTAAACCAGGCTGGCGGCTCCCTTGCGAGCTTGTCCCATGAGGCTGGTTCGGGAGGAGGGGCACCAAGCCGAGACGGCCCTCCCTGGCCAGCGCGCCCTTCCTGGCTCTGCAGCAGCCGGGTGTCTGACGGGGGTGTCTCTTGGCAGGACTGGCAGGTGCAATACCAGCAGGACAGGCCTGTAGCGCCGCGGTTTGACATCAACGCCCCGGATCTGTACATTCCAGGTACCTCGCTGGGCAGCACGTCCTGCTCTGGTTTGACCCCCTGAGCGCCACAGGGCCTAGCTATGCAGATTGCCGCACTGGGTGGTGTGGCCTGTCTTTTGGGGTGCTTGGCCAAGGAACAGAAGTCTGACACCGTGCAGGTTCAGGCACAAGGCCTGTTATTACGCACAGCTGGGGGAGTGTCACTTCGCTTATTAGGCTCAGTGAGACTGCCAAGCAATTGGCAGATATGGAATCCCTATCTCAGGAAATATTTAAGAGCAGGTTAGATAAATGTCTATCAGGGATGGTCTAGACAGTATTTGGTCCTGACATGAGGGCAGGGGACTGGACTCGATGACCTCTCGAGGTCCCTTCCAGTCCTAGTATTCTATGATTATATTGGGCGCTGATGAGCAGAGAGATGCTACGGGGTGGGTGTTCCCAAGCCCCTGGACAGGTTCTAGCAGCAAGACAGAATGAGCACTGTTGGAAACGTAAATATGGACACTGTATACATCCAAACAGGAGGGTTTATTACGCACAGCGCTGATGGAGTGTCACCCTGCTGCTTAGGCTCAGTGGACACTACTAAGCAATTGATTACAATAGATTATATAGGGGACCAATGGGCAGAGAGAAACGATGGGGTGGGAGTTCCCAAACCCCTGGATAGATCTTAGCAGCAAGACAAATGAGCACAATAAGCAAGTAGTCTAAGAGATTACATAGTAGCTCCGCCCATAGCTCAGTTAACATATTTGTTAAAACACAAGTATCCCCCCTCCTTGCCCCGAAAATTGCTGTGCCATGCATAAGCTACATTTCGATTGGGATCCATAGAAGTGATGACGGCGCTTTCCCGACAGGTGCAGTTCATAGGTGCTTTTCTGGGGGTCTAAAACAAAAGACCATGTAAGGTACACAGCAAAGCAGTTGTTTATAATATTATTCTGGTATGTCTGCTAGCCGGAACTGCCAGGGAGGGGTGAACTTGGGATCTGGGGGGGAGGGTGTTATCGCCTAGTGATGTGCTAGGCCTTGGGAAGGCAGTTGTTGTTTTTTTTCCCATACCAGTTGGCAGACTGAGGCCCCTTTCAGGGCCTTGGCCTTGTGTGTGAAAAACTCATGATAAGGGTGTTCAGTTATTCCTCCCCACATAATGTTATGGCACTTCAGCTCCTTCCATTTGTGATAAACAGGCGGGGTTGTTTTCCTGTGTTTTTCCTGCTTCCCTAGAGCTATCTAGGCCTCATGCCTCTGCCCAGGCTGTCCAGCCTGGGCCTATGCGGAAAAGCTTAACCAGAGTCTGTGGTTCAGAATCTTACCTACATATCAATGGGCTATTTGCTATTTTATCCCTTCAAGCACAATAAACCAATAGTCTAAAAGATTCCATGCATGCCCCGCCCATGGCTCAGGTTCACGTTTGCTAGTACACAGCTGTTACTCCTCCGGTTCTCCTCTTGCAGGAAGTAGGTTAAGTCCCGATTTCAGGTCCTCAGAAATGACAGGTGGCACCTCCCAGACAGATTTGCCCTCAGGTACATTCCTAGAGGGTCTTAAAGCAAAGAGAACAGTGAACAGCACCCAGCATAGACTATCGATGCTTCCCTCTGAACTCGGATTGGCATCTGTGAGGGGCGGATAGCCTCACTCCTGCTGCCACGTTAGCCCTCTCCCTGACCCCTGGTTGGTATACGGAGAATACACTGTTCTCTCTCCCAGACTTCGAGGCCCCTCTCAGTGAGTTATGTGCCTATAATTCATGATAAGCCCCCGATTGCTGCTCTCCATCTGGGGTTGTGCTGAGACAATCTTCTTTGTTTAACTGGGCATAAAACAAGCTGTTTCCTGCTTATCTTAACTTTCCTTCAGCCGTGTTTTGTCCATTGATCGCTAGGTCTCAGGCCCGTCCACTTTGGGCATATGTGAAAGATTCTTAACAAAGTCTGGGGTCAGAATCTTACATACATCGCATTAGGATCTTGGCCCTCCAGTCCCCCCTTTGACCCTAGAATACAACAATTTTAACATTTTTAGCTTACTTCAGAAGCACTGGTAAAGCACTAACACTGGCAGGAATGTCAGAATGGACACTCCCCACATTATCTGGCAGAATAGCACACAGATCCATCCCCTGGAGATTTTGTCACCGGAGATGGCATTGCCCATAATCATTGTTTTAACTTCCGCCGCCTGGTTCAATGCCTTTGAATATTTGGCATTGGCTTGGTCCACGGTCTCCCCTATCTGAGTGTACCTCAGACGGCCTACCCCAGTGTGTCTGGGCCTCGGCCACCAGCTCCTCAATCTTCACCTGCAGGGCCCGAAGCCCACCCTCTTGGTATTAACTGCCGTAGTGCCATTCCGGATCCCACGTTCGGTTACCCGTCATTGGCGGAGCACGGTAGAGCCGCGTCCCGCCAACGGCCAGGGTTGCCCCTCGAGGGACCGTCATGCACACGGATGGGTGTGTCGAGGGGCAGGGCTTTCCGTTTAGCTCGATGGAGCGGTTCTGGGCAGTCACACCAGTAGGGACCGTTGATCTGGACCAGCTTCTCTGTGACAGCCACCTCGTACCGAGACCGATTCGTTGGAGTATTACATGGGCATGCACACAAGATTTCTCTATCGGAGCGGGTGCAGCACTCGCTGGTGTACAATGCTTTCCCAGCAGCCTCGGCATACGCGATGCCTCCTCTGTTAGTGACGTGACCCCCTCTCCACGCTGACAGGGAGGTTACCATTCTAGCTTGGTGCGGGTTAGGGATGCCCAGAGGCACTAGGAGGTTAAAGATTATGCTGTGACTTGTCTAGACTGGTCTTTGGACCCTCATTGATTCTCTGTGTCCCCACTCCCTTGGAGGGGAACTGGGGAGATGGGGCCCTAATACTTTCATGAGGGCTGGGGTGGACCCGGCTATCCAGGGGGTCTGTTATAATTCCCTGTGTGCTAACAGCCAATGTCTGTCCTGTTCTCCAATAATTTTCCTCCAAGTCCTTTGTTTTTGTACCATTTATTAACAAATTGGTTAATCTTTGACCCAAATATTTTGTGATGTCCAGTGAGGTGGATACAGAGTTTGACAGGTCGTTTAAGCTGTCGAGGAGTATCCGACTGCCTTTCTCAGTATCCAGTCCTCCCCGAGCATTAGATAGCACAGCGTCTGCCAGGCTTGATTCGATTCGGTTTCTCTTTTTAGCTATGTGTGCTACGGCATAGGCGTTGCCAACAGAATTACCTGCACGGAACCACCCCGCAGTCGTGTCCATGAGTCCCCGTTTCTGTCTAGTTACCTTTAAAGGTAATTTGGATACTAGTCATATTAATTGTAGACACTGTCCCTCTGAGAGGGCTGCAACATGGTTTGATAGTGACTTTCATTATAGGTGGGGAGTCTCTGCAATTTCATGTTTCCTTCCAAAGGCTCCCAAAAATTCTATAGTCTCTGGCACTTGGCACCAGGGAGTAACGGGGCAGTCGGCTGTTACTGAAATCGTGATGTTACGAGTCTACCTGAAAATCCGTGTATGATTTTATTTGAATTTTCTTTAATTCCGCCTGCCCCTGCCCTGCCCCTGCCCTATCTGTGGTCCTACCCCTATCTCTGGCCAGGCCTTTTTGATGGTTAATGCGCGTGTTTTGCAAAAGCGAAGCATTTCTTTAGTACGGCAGTTAAATTAAAAATTAATGGAGATTGCCTATCTCCTAGAACTGGAGGGGACCTTGAAAGGTCATCGAGTTCAGTCCCCTGCCTTCACAGCAGGACCAAGTACCATCCCTGACAAATTTTTGTCCCAGATCCCTAAATGGCCTTCTCGAGGATTGAACTCACAACTCTCGGTTTAGCAGGCCAATGCTCAAACCACTGAGTTACCCCTCCCCCAAAAAGTTAAAGCGGAGCAAGCCCGGTGGAGGGGGTTAGTGACCCATTCCCAGTCCTCCCTTTCACACGGCACCCTCCTTGCATCCTTCACCATAATCCACAGGGCCAGCGCGGGGCCTCACGGTCACCCATCAGTCCTTCTTCTTGTTCACCTGTGGAGACATTGTTAGCACTCGCGGGCGCTGGTTCAAACAGTGTTAACCGATTTTGGTGCCTCCAAGACGGTCCCATCTTTCCCCCACCCTTCACACACGTGTTAGTGGTCAAAAGGACCCGCATGGGGCCTTGCCACTTCGGTTTTAGAATTCCTCTAACCTCTGGGTCAACGGGACACGTTACCAGATCCCCGACCTTAAATGCAGGTTTGTCCAGAGTGCTGCTATCGTCCAGCTGGGCTTGGTTTCCCTTTACTTGGTGGTATAATTCCTTTAACTCTTTGTCTAACACTTTAATGTAGTTCTGCGAAGGGCCCTGACCCGTCGGCTGGTAGGACCACACCGCTAGGCATTCTCATTAATTCAAGGGGCATTAACTGAGTCAGCCTGTTAGGTCTGTGGTCTCCAGCACCGCGTTCGTTAATGCTGCTTTCAGTGTCCCGGTTTTAGCAAGCTGAGGATGATGGCAGGGTTTTCCACAATCGGGTGAGCCTTTCGGGTCACCCTGTAAAGGTGAGTATAGTCTATAGTTAACCTCCAGGTCCGAACGGGCCGTTATCAGGGAGTTAGCGGTAGAGACGGTTTTCGGATGGCTGTTCCTGCTTGGACCCTCCAGTCCATTCAGCGCTGCTGGCTCTGGGATTGATCACTCCTCCGAGCTCCTTAAGGAGATCTGTGCCGCAAATTGTGTCCCCTTGCTCGGGGCAAACCCAGATTTGACTTACTGTGATCATGTCATCAAATTCTATTTCTACTGGCTGGCTTAGGGTTGCTCTTAACCTTCCCCCTCCCGCCCCTTCCATCCATATGGTTTGACGGATCGGGGGAGGTCTTGGCCGGTTATTAATACCGAGGCTCCCGTATCTAATAACACTTTGCACGACCGGCCCCCTGTTCCTGTGTTCAGAAACATCCTTGGGTCGCCTACGGTCCCAGCCACGGAGGCTGCTATGTCCTATTTGCCAGCCAGGAGTTTGAGCAGCTCCTGGATCTGTTTAGTCTGTTCCTGCTCTTGGGGGTTTGGTTTATTGGTCTTATTTAGCTTGCTTGGCCACTGGCCTTCCCTACCCCTGTGGCCATTTCTCTTGCAGTTGCTGCACATTTTAGTTTTCATCCTGTCCTTGCAGTCCCGTGCCAGATGTCCTGGCTTGTCACAGGTGTAACAAGTAGCGGTTCCGACTGCATGGACCGCCACCGCCTCCTCGGAGGCGAGGGTCGCCGCTGCCTTTTTCTTCCTGTTCTCTAGATCTGCGGCCCACTTCATCACGGCCGAGAACGAATCTCCAACCGAGAGGCCTAAGGCCAGGACTGCTTGGTGATCCGCAGACAACCCTTCCTTTAGGATTTGGAGAAACACGTCGTGGTCTCGGGATGTTATGTTGTCCAGGCCTGAATAAGAGCGGAATGCATTCCACTTCTTCTCGGCATAGGACATGGCCGACTCCCCTTTCTGTTGGGTCACTGATTGCAAGGCCCCCCAGTTGGTGGCTTGAGCTCCCAGAACTGTGGAAAGCGCAGCCCTGAATTCAGCTACACTGCCGGAGTCTGGGTTCGGGGATGGCTCTAGATCAGGGGCCACTCCCGCGGGTCTGGGGTCATGTTCCTCGGCCCAGCGCCCGCTTTTCCATCTATTGGCCAAATTGTCCCACACGTCTCTGGGACACTTGCACTTGGCCAGGATGTGAACATCCTTCTTACGCAGGCCGTGCAATTCAGTCAGGCCGTCCAGTTTGTCCCAGAACTCCATGTTTTTGTTATCGCGTTGAAGTTCGGGCAGAAAGGACAGCAGTGCCTGTTTCTCCTGTGGGGTAAAGGGGCGGTAGGTCTGGGGGGTTTCCATCCGGAATCCCCACGCTGGCTCCCCCTCCTCGTTAATATTTCTGAGCCTTCTTAGCTGCGTTTGAATTAGGGCCACATGTTGGACGTGATCATCTGGGGCGACTGGTCCCTGTGGCCACCCTCCATCAGCCCTGGCAGTGCCCGGATCTGGCCCTTGAGGTGCTGGTCCATACGGGGACGTGTATGGAGGGGGTTCTAGCCCGTCTCCTTTGTCCCTCACTGCCAGATCCCCCCACAGGTAAGCTACCGGTGGTGCGGTTGGCTGGCAAGTGCCGACGGGGAGCTCGCCCTCTTCTGATCTAGGGGTGGGCCCTTGGCCTTGTAGCTTTGATTCTCCTGCTTTGGGATCCTGCCTGCCTGCCTCACAGCTACTCCTGGTGGAGGGGGGTTTATCGCTCCGAGAAAGGGCTTTGTCTCGTAGCGCCTCGTTTTCAGATTTTAAAGCTTCAATTTCCTTTTCTTTCATAGCGAGGATATCCAATAGTATTATCACCGCTTTGTCTGCTTTCTTCACTTTCTGGTCGTTCCACCATTTCACCAACTCTTCTTCAGACCTGGCTGCAGCGTAATTTGCCTTAACGGCCGCCTGCCGGGTTTTTACATATTTATGTTCTAAGTATTCCTGTGGAGTGACTTTCGCCTCCCCCTTGGATGCCATGGCTTTTGATCACCACAACTCCTGACCGTACTGGGGATGTGTGTGGTCTCGAGTCACACCATCGCTGGCCTTACTGGGGACTCGTACCATTCGAGGGTATATACTTCACATGCCTGAAGGGGGGGCGCTCTGTCAGGATGTGCAATAAGGAAGCAGGGCCACCCGTTTGCACTGCCTGCCGCTCGCGTACCCAGCCAGTCCTGGGCTTAGCTCACAGCCAGTTACTGGCTAGTCGCTTGTCCAGATCCTCCGTAACACACCCCTTAGTTTAACAGCTCGGCCCCCTCCCCAGTGGTACCCCTTCTACCTCTATGCTCGGATCACATGTGTCTAGGTTCCTTTGTTTGAACTCTGAAAAGCGGAGGCAAGATGTGTCCGAAGGGGACGAGAGACTCCGATCCCTAGCCTAATGAGGTGGTAAATTAAACGTACTCACCTCTCTTTGGATGTCGGTCTCTGGCTCCCAAGTAGCTCACATGCTTGCATCCCCTCCCCGTGGCCAACTGAAGGAACAGAAGTTCGACACCGTGTAAATCCAAGCAGGCGGGTTTATTATGCACAGCGCTGGTGCAGTGGATTATATCGGGCGGGGCGGGGAGACGGGAGTTCCCAAGCCCCTGGATAGGTCCTTGTAGCCAGACAAAATGAGCACAACAAGCCAATAGTCTACAAGATTCCATGCATGCCCCGCCCAGGGCTCAGGTTCACCTTTGCTAGTACACAGCTGTTACTCAAGTTCTCTGGCAGGAAGTAGCTTAAGTCCTGATTTCAGGTGCGTTCCTAGGGGGTCTTAAAGAGACCAGTGAACAGTACCCAGCTGTGGCAGTTGTGTAGAGCTTATCAGTGCGTCCCTCTGAACTCGGATTGGCATCTCTGAGGGGCGGATAGCGTCTCCTGCTGCCATGTTAGCCCTCTCCCTGAACCCTGGCTGGTATTCGGGGAGGATACACTGTTATCTCTCCCAGACTTCGAGACCTCTCTGTGAGTTATGTGCCTATGTAACTCACGATAAGCCCCCAGTTACTGCTCTGCACCTGGGGTTGTGCTGACTCCTTGTCTTATGCCTCGGTAAACAAAGAAGGCTGTTTCCTGCTTATCTTAACTTTCCTTCAGCCGTGTTTTGTCCATTGTTCGCTAGGTCTCAGGCTCGGATCAGGCCCGTCCAGTTTGGGCGTACGTGAGAGATTAACAGAGACTGGGGTCAGAATCTTACGTACGCAGTCTTAGGACCGTGGCCCTGCACTCACAGGAGGAAGCTGAGTGGCCTAGCCACAGTGTGGGAATAACTCGGTGGTGGGAGTCACGCCCCTCCTGTGTTTCCTCTCAGCTCTGCTAGGAGCCCAGGTCAGCACCTCGCCTGCGTCCAGGCAGGTGACTCTGCTTGTCTCTTTCCTTCGCAGTCATGGCTTTCATCACCTACCTCCTGGTGGCGGGCTTAGCACTGGGAACCCAGAACAGGTGAGGAGGCTGCTAGCTGGGGTCTGCGCTCCCCGGGGGCCAGGGGCGCAGCAGCCTTGTGTTGGGGGATGGCGTTTCAGTGTCTAATCTGCGTGTCTGGCCTTTGGGTGCAAAAAACACTACGGGATGGGGGCCTCCTTCCCGGAGCCGTTCCCTGTGCCCAGACGTTGGGTGTTGTCAGGGGGGCTGTCTCCCTTTCGCCCCCTGCGCCGTACGTGGCGGCAAGGGCGTATGGGAGCGTTTAAAAAGCACAGGCTCAGCGAACCAGTCTCGTGACAAAGGGGGATGCTGCGTACATTCTCCCTGGAGGCGCCAGTCCCAAGGCCGTGCGGGGGCCGCGTACTGGCACAAGTTGCCTTTAGCAATGTCGGTCAGGGCCACGGTGGGCGCTTAGTTCTCGTGGGCGTCTCCTCGTTCCCAGAAGGTGGGAATGGGCAGCAGGGGGTGGTCTGACGCAGATGGGCCGTTCTGATGCTCTCGGGGGCCCAGGGTAAAACTGGGGCCTGGTGAGCTCAGGCGGGAGAATCCATGGGAGTGGGGGAGCAGGGGGGGCAGAGCCAGAACCAGCCCCCCCATCCCCAGGGCCTCAATTGGAAAGCCCGGAGGAGCCAGTTCAGGGCCGGGGCTCCCTGCAGCTCTCTGTGGCCAGGGGGGAGGGGG